CTAAACCCTAAACCCGAAGCCATCCCTCAACCCTAGAGCCGAAATCAAAACCGAACCCCCAAAACTAACCAGAACGATTGCAAAAAGGAAGCCTCAAAAAGGAAAGAACGCCCAAACCCGAAAGCCCTAAACCCCTAAACCGAAGCCTGTAAAGGAACCCCGCAGTTGACTGGGTGTGTTGCCAGGGTTCCAACTCTAAAGAGAAGGCTTCAACTAGGGTGGTTGGGGATTTAGGGTTTAGGGTTTAGGGGTTTAGGGTTTAGGGTTTAGGGATTAGGGTTTAGGGTTTAGGGTTTAGGGTTTAGGGTTCAGCTCTTAGAATCCCTAAAAACCCCCCGAGGCCGCTTAAACCCCAACCAATCTCTGAAGATGGGTTAGGGTTTAGGATTTGGGGTTGAGGGTTTAGGGTTGAGGGTTGAGGGTTCCGGGTTTTAGGGTTCAGGTCTTAGAAGCTAGAGTTGTCATAGAATCTAGAGTTGGGTTTAGGGGTTAGGGTTTTGGGTCTGGGGTTTAAGTTCTAGCGGGAAGCAAAAGGCTTCTTTCACGGCGTCGATGCGGTTTCGAAGGCACTAATGACTAAGATATGTTTGATTTTCGTTTCGTGGGTTTGGGAGGCATATCTAATTATGCATGCATGTGGTAGACTTTGTCAATTTCTTTGGCAGGCGTGAGTTGCAAGCTTGGCTTTGTGTGACCCCAGAACCATTCTTCATGTTTTGAACCCTGAACCCTCCATCCCCAAACTGCCCAATCCTACTTAAACTTAGGGTTTTAGGGTTTAGGGTTTAGGGTTTAGGGTTTAGGGTTTAGGGTTTAGGGTTTAGGGTTTAGGGTTTAGGGTTTAGGGTTTAGGGAAGTAACCCACAGACCCGCATCCCCCCTACCACTCGCAACCTGTAGACTGTAATGCAAGGCCAGTAATTGTTTGAGGTTACCCTAAACCCTGAAGCCTAAAACCCTAAACCCTAAACCCCAGTAATTGTTTAGGGTTTAGGGCCCAAGTCTATCGCCTTCCATCCTAAATGCTTATGCATACCCACTGAAGGAGTCAAGAGGCCTACGAACGCTGGCTCCGGCAGAAGGCGTTGGACACAGAGCTCCGGGATCGGGCTATAATTATAAGCAAAGACAGGCTGACGGTTTAGGGTTTGGGATTTAGGGCTTAAGGTTTCAAACAAGCAGCTAAATACACTGCACAATGGTCAATACATACAGGGTACAGTTGCAATGTATTTGTGCATGCACAGAAAAGTATGTGCTTCATGCCATGCACAGTTGCATTCTTCTATTTGTCTTTCCAAATCCAGGTTTGGATACAAGTGAAAGGGTACGTGGCTAGACACGCGAACAAGTAGAGTTCATGGGCATCTGTACTTCAACATAAACATCTAACCTAAACCCTAAACCCTAAACCCTAAGCCCGAAACCCTAACCTCAACCCTTTCGACTTCGGGCTAAGGGCTCACGCTTACACGTGAAGAGCTTGCATGTGCACTGTGCGAAGCCGGTTTGCTCGTTTAAGTTCAACATCAGAGCGTTCAAAGTATCAAAGCCCAAACCCTTCCCTAAACATGACACCCAATAACTTCCAAGCACCTACACCCTAGACCTTAGCCTTAAATTAGCCGTAAGCCCTGCACCCTCGACCCTGCACCCGTATAGCATACAGCCTAAACCCTAAACCCCAAAGCCCTAATCCCTTAAACCCTAACCCTAAACCCCTAAACCCTAAACCCCTAAACCCAAAGCCTTAAACCCAAAACCCCCAAAAACCCTAAACCAATCCCCTAAAACCCTAAACCCCCAAAACCTTAAACCCCTAAACCCCTAAACCCTTAAAGCCCTAAACCCCTAAACCCCTAATTCCTAAAACCCTA